GCGCATTACAATGCTATTTCAGCTGTGATTCCAGGGCCTGGGGAGGGTGACGGGCTGTGACCTTATGCCTGTCAGACAGTGGTTTGCATTTCCAAAGAGTTTGTGTAACCAACTGTTCAGGTCATCTTACGCCTCCCGTTCTGGGCTCAGCGTGCAGAAATATCTGAGCCTGTTCAACCTGCCAGCTACAGGGACAATCCTCCAGCTGCACACAGCAGCGGTGGTACGTGCTGTGGTCCTCAGGGGCTCCTGATCCCATTTCTGTTGAAGCCTGGAGGGACTGTTGTCACCCTCCAAAGCAGCAGTCTGGGGGATGTACTGCTTTATTGATGGGGCTGTAACTGAAATATCCGTATCATTTGGTGCCAGTTTCTGTGTCAGGGACTGGTGTTTCAGGTTATTCTTGGTGCACACAGTGTCCCTGTCTCAAGCATTACAGTGTGGCTGAGATAGCCCAGCTGTCAGCATCACTGGCCTGAGGTGGTGTTGGACCCTGGCTGTGTCTGGGAGAGGCAAGAACCTCAGCTGACATCCCCAGTGCTTCAGTTTCACCTCTGCTCTGCAGGACGGTCCTTCCCTTGAGAGTGGGTGACCCTCCAGCAGGGACTGCTGGCTGTCCCCATTCCTGGGGCTGAGCCACTGGCAGCGGGGTGAAGGAGCTGGAACCCACACAGCAGCAGCAGCCCTCATGAGCTGGTGGGACTCATGAGTGAGTCCCTCAGATCCTGGTTTTAGCTTCAGAGCAGCAGGCTTCTTGTATTTGGGCAGAAGCCATGGTGAGATGGGACAGAATTTTGCAGGAGGTGAGTGAGGGGGAGGATGAAACTTTTCTGGGTCTCCCACCACTCCTGGTTCAGGGACTGGGTGCACATCAACACCATGATCTGTGCCGGGCCGGGACCTTTCACTTCCAGTGTATTATGAGCTGCTATCAGCTGAGCTTACAAGTGCTCTCGCTCACTGCCGTACTTCTGGTGGTCTCCCTGGGCTGGTCTCCAGCAGCAATGCAGTCATCTTCTGCCAGCAGCTCCATTAAAATGCACGGCCAGCCAGGCTTAGCTGAAGATGCACAGTGCAGGTCCTGCCCAGGGCCCTGAAAACCGACCACAAAGAAGAGTGTCTATTAGGAAACAGAGGGAGGGCCAAGTGAGTTGAGATGGATCTTGTTTTGCTGAGGCTGAATTTGGCCTTTTCATGACCCTTCCCACAACAAATATGAACAGATTCAGAGAAAGGAAACCAAACTGCAGTGTAAGCACCAAGCCCCAGGCACAGCCAACTGGCTTGGGTGGCTGAACAGCAGAGAGACTCACTTGGGTCAGGAGGTCCAGAGATGGTATGGAGCAGGAGATGTTCCCTTAGAGCCTCCACCTCCAGCCTCCTATAAAAATCATAGAATCATAGAATCATTAGGTTGGAAAAGACCTTTTAGATCATTGAGTCCCACTCTTAATCTAACACTGCCAATTCCCACTAAACTATATCCCTAAGTGCCACATCTACATGTTGTATTTTTAAATAACCTCCAGAGATGGTGACTCAACCACTTCCCTGGGTGGCCTTTCCCAATCCTTGACAACCCTTTCAGTGAAGAATTTTTTTCTCATTTCCAATCTAACCCCCCCCCGTCAATGAGATGTTCTTCTGAAAGAACTGCTTAGAGGGTTCATGTGGTCAATGCAATGTCTCATTCATCTGTAGGCACAGGTAGGCTATGAGCTCTGGAAACCACACCATGGTGGGTGTGAATTCCTGCTCAGCAGCACTGGGCTGGATAGAGAGGAACACCGTTACATCAGCCCTGCAAACTCCTCTGTGTGCCTGAGCATGGTAAGCAGGAGGCTGAACTTTTCTGCAGGAGCCTGAATCACCAGGAGAGTAATTAATGCAAATTTCACAGACAGGCAAACAAGTCTGGAGAAGCCTCACAGCTTGGCCTGAACGCACTGAGCAGTGCAGTCATCTCCACCCTGGGGCTTGCCATCCTGTGGAAACTTGGGAAGAGCTTCTAAGGGGTCTGGGTAAAAACAACCAGAAACCCACTGGTCTGATTTCACAAGGCCAAAACCCTCCAGTGTTGTCCAAGAGAGATGCTCACTTGTCCTCCTGGAGAAAGGAGGGTATGAGCAACTCAACGCCACCCTGCAGGGACGAGGGCTCAGGGGCCAGTAGGTGGAGGTTGAAGGTCTGCTTCTCAGCTCCACCAGTTCCCCTGCATCCATGTCCCCTCCAGCCACCCCTTGCTGGTCCCTTTTGCTTCACCAGCACCCTGTTGTAGACCCTGGGGCAATACCAGTTATTTCCCTGCCCTGTTTTTGTGGCTGTGGCTGGAGGGCTCAGCTCTGTGAGAGGGTCCCTGGGGGAGCTGTGGATAGAGCAGAGGGTGGCTGTGCCCTGTAGCTGCTGTGCCTCAGTGCCTTGCTATGCCAACATCTCAATCCCCATCTACAGCCACCCCCAGGGCCAGGTAAACCTCCTCCAGGCTTGTTTATCTGCCAGGAGATTTCCATTAATTACCCACATGCTTCTCCATCCTGCAAGAAACTCCTTGGCCACACCACCTTGAAGCTCTCAATGCATGGTTGGTTTGGTACACCCCATGTCCTTGTGCCATCCAGCACATCTCAGCATCCTCTGCCTGGTCTGTAGGGTGGGTTATTCTTCTTTTCTGAACCTTGGCTGTCGATTCAAGGGCTGGCAGAGCACAAAGGGAGCCAGCACCAGGCTGCACGCTTGCATCTGGGTGTGCATCAGGGCCAGTCCTCTGTGCAGGAGCATCCCAGCTTTAAAGGTGGAGAAGGCTCTGGTGCTGCCCCAACCATCAGCCAGGGATTTTATCTTGAATGGGTTTCTTTTGTCTTCACGCAGATTCCCAAGGGTCTACAAGAGTAGGAGGCAGGGAGTTTAAGAGCTGGCTGCAGCCTGGTCCTGTCTGGTCTGTGCTCTCCCATATCTCTGAGATGATCTAAGGACCTTTCCTTGCTCTAGACCTGGGGAAGAAAACAAAGCTGAAAGTATTTGCCAGCTGGCGGGAGAGACCTAAAAAGGCAAGTTTTAGCTATTTCCCTCTTCCTGCTGCCCCTCTGGTGTGAGAGGGGTGTGAGTGGGGCAAAGCAGGGAAGCCCCCGTGGGGTGGAGGCCCGAAAGCATCTCCCTCCACATGGAAAACGTATGGAGCAGGGGCTGCAAAATGGGAACTGGAGGAAGCAGCAAGCACCTCACAGGGAACCAATCCTCATTGCATAGAAGCAGCCAAAATACCACGAATGCTGCACAACTTGTATAAAAGCTTTTCTCCATCTCAAGCATGTTCTTCTCTCGGCATCCATTTTTAATTTTTTTTTTTTTCTTTAAGTGCAGCACTAGTGAGCATTGCCAGGGCACTGAGATCCTTCTCTCAGCAGCAGAACACGTGCTCAACTTCAGAAATGCAGAGTTTTTCCCTAGAGTGAGACATGTTTTCATTTACCTGATCACTTATGAGCAAAAGAAATTAGAAGGGAGGGCTTAATAACATTGTTCCTAGCTTCTCGTCTAACAGTATAAAGCTGCTCCTTCCAAACCCATTTTCAAGCTTGACTTGATCATAAGGAATTTTTCTGTTGTTTTTTTGTTTGTTTTTTTTTTTTTCATATATGTGAAAATATTGTGGCATTCATTCTGCTACCTTACCCTCCTTTTTGTTTACACTCATCGACATCACATCTTTCACATATATATGAAATATATATACATTTATGCTACTTTCATATCTACTTGCTGTCTAAAAATTCACCAAAGCTGTCAGAGGATTTGATAAAAGAGCACAATGAAAATACCCTGCTGTTACTCTTAATAATCTGATGATTAATAAATAATAGAAAAAAATGCAAGCAATACTTCATCCCGGGCTCTCAGAGCGTAGGACATGGGAATATATATAACCTGTGACACTCCAAAGTCTTGGCAAAGCAGGAGAAAACAAGAGGCTTCTCACTTACTGACCTTGTTTCGTGGGCATCCAGTTGGTTATGTGGCCAGCAGTGTTTTATTGACATCGAAGATGGCTGCAGAGCAAGACCCAAGCCTGGAAGACTCATTGCTAACTGGCACTGGCTGCACAGGAGACACTTTGCACACAGAGAGAGAGATGGTAACGCTCTGCAATGCCCTTGGTGTGAGGATGGTATTCTTTCCATTCAGTGGATGCACAGTAATGTAGGGTTAATGGATGATTTTAAGACCTGGAAGCTATTTTGGTGGCAGAGGGCTTGACTCGTTCATAGACACAGCCCAAAAGATGGAAAGGTGCTACCATCTGTTGGGATGACTCTGAATCCTGCTCCTGCTGGTGCTTTCACCATCCACCTCTCAAGGCATCTTGGTCATGAAGACCATGAAGACATTGCAGGTGCTCACACCTTCAGAGCCTGACCCCACAGCTGGGCCTGGGGTGGCCAGGCTGGGCTGAGCCTGCTCAGGGGGTGGGAAAGCGATGGAAGATGGGTGAGGAGGGTTGTAAACACACTCAAGTGACTCGCACATGGGGTGTTGGAAAACACATATATCGGTCTGATTGTTGTTTAGTCTTACGTACTCAACACGTAGAACACCTGCACTTAGATAACATAGGTCTGTGATGGACTTAGAGGCACCTTATTGACCGTGCCTCAGATTCCTGCCCCCTTGTCGGAGAAGATCAAAGCACGGTGGAAAACTACGCCTGCTTGAGTGCCTGAAATACCGGTGAGAACACCGGGTTCTGACACCCTGTCACTGTCTCTCTCGCTATCAAGGCCTCTCTCGCTCCGTGGTGCCTCCATCCCTGGCTTGCGTGCCTCTGCCCGGCTGCTGCTTCAAAGGTTCCCCCATCTATGACATACTGAGATTAAATTCATGTTTTGCCTTTCGGCTTCGGTTCTGTGGTCGTTCCTGCGTCCTGCCTGTGTCGGCTCACACACAGTCTATATGTTAGTTGTTTTGAGTATTTTCCTTTTTTATCTTGTTTTTCTGCCTCACAGGAATGAAAAAGGAGATTTGGAAATTCTCACTGCCTGGTCATGGGCTGGTTTCCGTCTGCCCTCGACTTATCTCGAGGCCTTCAGGCTCGGTTTCTTGGCTCGAGAGCCGGCGGCTGGTGCTCTATCAAGGCACTGCATCGAGCGATTCCCCTGCTATCACCCTATCTCCAGGGACCTGCCTGCACGGGTCCTGCTGGGTGCTATCTCCTTTCCCCACCTGCCAGGTGCCTTGTGTCCCCCCCCCCCGTACCCCATACCTCCAGGAGATGCTTTGCACAGCACAGCAGGGAGATCTTGGGGCAGAATCATGCAAGTAGGTAACAAGCTTATCACAACTGATGCCGTGTATCAGTTCTGGGTGCTTCTATGTTCTTAAATATAGGAATGTCCCCCAACAGCCCGTCTAGCCTTTGTGGAAGTCCACCCTTGGAAGGGTGTAAGGACAAGTGATACTTCCCCAGAATATTTCCTCAACCTCCAACATTTTGTTGTGACTCAGACTACCTGAGTCAGAGGTGTCCTTGTACTTAATACTCCTTCAGTAGATTTTTCTCCCATGAATTTGTTTAGTTATTTTTGAGGCTTAGTAAATTTTAAGCATTTGCAACATCCTGTGACAAAAAGCTGCCCAATCTAATGGCCTGTTTGGGTGCAGAATCATTTCCTTTGGCTTGTTTTGATCCTGCCACCTGCTAGCTTTTTTTTATGCCCTCATTCTCATGGTGGACAAGATGATGAGTGGTCCTTTTCTATCCAGCCACACTCTGCCTCTTGTAATTTTGCAGGCTCTGCCATAACCTTTCCCATGGATGTCTTTTGGGGACAGAAGAGTCCCACCTTGAACAGCTGTTCGTCCTATGGACACAAAGACCTTATGGTCTTATGACCATCTAAAATTTTTTTCCCTTTTTTCTCCATCCCTTTAATAATAAGTCTTGGGTACACCCCCCCACCCTCACCCCACTCCCAGATTGCTTAAGAGGCAAATCAATGGAAAATGCCCCAAAGAAAGATGTCAGTCATCTCCCAGGTGACTTCAAATTGTCCTGTGCCCATTATTTCTCCCCTGGGCACTGCTGCTCTCCTCACCCAGACTGCAAGACCCGCTGCCTGGGGGATCTGTCTCTTTGTGTTTCCTCCTACTTCAGGCACAAGGGAGGCAAAGGAAACCCCAAATGACAGCAGAGCCATTCCTCTCCAACATAAAAATGTAATGCAGTAATCAGCCTGTTTCAGGACAGAGTTTGATCACCTGGGGGCCAGGAAGCCACCTTCTCATGACTTGGTAACCCACAGCAGGGCAGGATGGTGTATCCAAGCAAAAGCATCCAGCTGAGTCTCAAGGGTGCCTGTCACCACTTGGTCTGGGCATGTGGGATTTTTGGAACCCCATGGACGTTAGACAGCATAAAGCCCTCAGCTCCCTGTGCAGCCTCCAGCACTTTCTGGAACCAGCTGACCTCACCTCATGTTCCCCTGACTCACCTTGAGGCATGTCTAAGCCTTAGACACCCTGGGTGTCTAAGCAAGGACAGGTGATTCCTACTCTTTGAGCTCACACCAGACTAAAGGGCAGCAAAGCATATTTGCCCAGTTTTTGTTTTGGTGGAAGGACCCCCACATAGACCCCCAAGGGGTCTTCTCTGATGGGGAAGCCGTCTCTGATCTCAGCAGATGACAGCTCCAGCTCACAGAGCAGGCTTGCAGGGGCTGTAGGGGCCAGGAAATAGGGGTTCATCCCAGCCCAAAGCCAGAGTACTCCCCTCTGTCCTTCCAGCCCCAAAGCACCCTGTATGGTGAGACCGCATGCTTGGGACTCATCCCTGTGGAGAAGGAGGCCCAGGAGAGCAGCCTCAGCACCCACAGGGTAATACTTTTGCAAGATGTTCTTGGAGTGGAAGAGCTTTGAAGCTGGTTTCTGGTAGCACCCTCTCGTGTAGAGTCTCGGGTGGGTAGTAATGTGGTTCAGCACACCCTCTATCTTTCTCCCAGTAGAGGAAGTCTTTGGGCTTTCTCCTTCTCCCAGCTGAGCTGCCAAATTCCAGAACATCTCTTAAACACCCACATCTGGGGATGAATCTGCCTCCATGGGTTAAAAACAAATGAGGAGGGATCTGGCAAAGAGACAGACAACACAGTTGCATAATCTGTGTTTCTGTGAGAAGCAAAAGCAAAATGGAGAACTGTGAGGGAGTTTCCCAAAAGCCCATATCAGCTCTGACTCAGCTTTCCTGCACCTTGGCAGACCCTGCCACTGCCCTGCCTCCACTTCCCCACCGGGGGAGTGAGGATGGACCATACCTGTCTCAAAGAGTGACTGGAATGGCGGGGCTGGGACAAATGAAAAAAGGGCTAGAGCTGTTAAATCTGAGCCAAGTGTGCTTGAAGATTTCAATTAAGTCATCATCACCACCATCATCATCATCACCTCTGCTGACGTTTTCCCAGCACCATACAGGTTGGGTTTGGCTGAAAGGGAGGGAGGGCACTCATGCAGCCGGGCGCTTTGGCACTTGGATACCGACTGTCACCCTGGCTCATCCCGGTGTGGGGTGGCGGGCTGCGTGCCCATGTGTGATTTCCATTTGTGTGGAGTGAGGGGATGGATTGTGGTTTCTGCCTTGGGGTTGGTGTTCATGGACAATCTGAGCCCTGGGGTTGACCTTGTAGGACACAGGATAAGGTATTTTTGGCTGGCTTGGCCACCTGTGTGACAGTAGTCACGGGCTGTGTCATGGCATTGTAAATGTTTCAAAGGAAGTATGCACGTTATTTTGGGGAGTTTTGCCCTTTGTAAGATGTCACTGTTGAATTTTGATGGCCCTGTCTGCATAGCTGGTGTTGATGTGGGATTTCCCCAGGGGTGCATTAATGCCAACTTGCCACCCATTGGCACTTCTCAGGAAAGCAGGAGCTCTGGGATGCCATGCCAAGAAGATGATGGCACATAGAGCTTGGGGATGCTCACCCTTGGTGAGAAACTGGCTGGGAATGGCTTCACCTGGACTAGGATCCCTCACATTCCTAGGGATGTAGTCAGGGGAAGGATTCCTCAGATTCCCCAGGGGTTTCCAAGACGTGGGAATGAAACGTGGACAGAAGAGGGAACCTGGCAGTGGGTGGGCAGCTGGGACCACACTGTGGCTCTTGGGGCAAGGTGGTATGGTGGGAGGTGCGTGATGCCTGCGAGGGCAGGCAGAAGGTGTGGAATGCTATAAAATCCTTTTTTAGTATTAGTATTAGCATTGTAGGATGGGGCGTAATTAATGACTCACTAGGTGCTGAAATACTTTATTAAATAACCTGTTCTGGGAAAGGCGTCACTGGCCCTGCTGCAGGGCTGGCCAGGCTTCCCAGCTACCCCAGGGTGACACGTCCAGGGAGAAACCTGCCCTGGTGCCCCCCAGTCCCTCTAATGCCCCCCGGCACCCCCACCTCCCCAGGCCCCCCTGGCAGCTTCTTGCTGTGCCTCTGTGTGTGTGAGTGCATGTGGGGGTCCGTGTGTCTGTAGGTGTGTGTCTGTAGGTTTGCATGTGTGTGCATACGTGTATTTGTGTGTGCATATGTGTGTGTGTACATATGCACATGTAGGGGTGTGTAAGAGGTGTGTGTGCATATGTGTGTGTGCATGTGCGTGTGTATGACAGAATGGTTTAGGTTGGAAGAGACAGGCGTATGTGTACATGTGTATGTGCGTATCTACACGTGTGCATGTGTTTATGTGTGCACGCATGTGCATGCCTGTGTGTGCATGTCTGTCTAGAGGCATGTGTGTGAGTAGGGGTGTGTGTGTATATATCTATGTGTTCATCTGTGTGGATGCATGTGCAGTTGTATAAGTGTTTGTGTGTGTGTATGTGCACGTATGTATGTACAATCATAGAATCATAGAATGGTTTGGGTTGGAAGGGACCTCAAAGATCATCGAGTTCCACCCCCCCTGCCATGGGCAGGGACACCTCCCACCAGACCAGGTTGCTCAAAGCCCCATCCAGCCTGGCCTTGAACACCTCCAGGGATGGGGCATCCACAACTTCCCTGGGCAACCTGTTCCAGTGTCTCACCACCCTCATAGTAAAAAATTTCTTCCTGAGATCTAATCTGAATCTTTTTTCTTCCAATTTAAAACCGTTTCCCCTTGTCCTATCACTACACCTCCTGGCAAAGAGTCCCTCCCCAGCTCTTCTATAGGCCCCCTTCAGGTATTGAAAGGCTGCTATAAGGTCTCCCCGGAGCCTTCTCTTCTCCAGGCTGAACAATCCCAGCTCCCTCAGCCTGTCTTCACAGGAGAGGTGCTCCATCCCTCTGATCATCTTCATGGCCCTCCTCTGCACCTGATCCAGCCGGTCCATGTCCTTTCTGTGTTGAGGACTCCAAAGCTGTATTCCTCTGTGTGTGTGTGTATGTGTGCACATGCCCCATCCTGGAGGCTATGGGGTGAGTGCTTTTGCTGGGAAGCTGGGGGATGAAGGTGCTGGGGGGTGGCAGGCCGTTATTCAGCCCCCCTGGGGCCAGACCCTGAGCCTTTCTGCCACCGTGGCCAGGCGTTACACCCCAGGGGCTAAAGGGGGATGCTGAGGGGTTTCACAATGGGCGACCCACCTTGGACCTTCCAGTTATTCCCCAAGTGCTCGAGTCCCTCCTCTCCTGTTGATCTCAAGCAGCACAGGGATGTGACCTCGGGACCAGGGATGACCAGACTGGTTTTCCCAGCCCTCCTAAAAATCCTGTGCAGGGCTGTAATTACCCTCACCTTAAATCAGAGGTCAGCCCGGCACCGCAGGTGTGCCCACAGCCCTCGGAGGTGTCGGGCAGTGAATCACGTCTCGGGGAACAGTGCGGCATGGTGAAGATGGGGCACGATGAACTGGGAAGGGGGAGAGGAGCAGAGATGGACCACGAGTGCTCCTGGTCCTGTTGGGGGTGGGAGGGAAAGGGGAGAAACAGGAGCTCCTCTGGCCAAGGGGCTGTTTCTTTTGGGAACACAGAGGACAAATGCCTCACAAGTTAGGAGCTCATGCTGTGATTCGTACTCAGCCGAGTCACTGGGGCTGTGCACAAGAATTACTTGCAAAACCAGACAGGAGTTAAACATCTACGCTAACTGGAAGTGAATTTTGGAGAAAACCTGGGACACACAGGAGTGCAGGGCAGTGCATGCACAGGTTTGTAGGGGGTCATCTCCCTGCCTTGAGGGGCAGCCCGTGGTACCCAACCTGAGCCGCTGAGGTGGAGGAAGAAGCGATTTGGAGGTTACAGTGAGCAAAAATCCTCTCCTGGGATGCTCTGGAGAGGGCTGGGGGTGTTGCTGCTGGTGGCTGGGATTGAGAGAGGCTGAGATGCAGCAGCCGGGCAGGAGCTGCAATGAGCAGTAACAAGGACCAGCAGCCTGGTCTCATACCTACAGCTGTCACCCCTGTCCCCGCTGCAAGCGTCTGCGAGCAGGAGGTGGTCCCCAAATATAACAATGGGCCAGCTCAGCTCTTGGGAGACTGACCTTGGAAAATGGGAGCCCAACACCCCCCTGCAGGAGTCACAGTCCCCTGGTGACACAAAGCTCAGACCTGGCTTTCAGCAGGTTTCTCTGTGTGGAAGTTGTTAATATCACGAACATGGGGTATTGAGGGGGCTCTTGGCAATGACGCTGGTGGCCGTGCCCAGCTGGGGACAGGTGACACACAGGGTGATAACAGCCTTTTTTGGGAATAGAAACGATGCCTGGCATGGAACAGGAGCTGGGTACTGTGATTTCCCAGGCAGATGCCGGGGAGTGGCAGCACGTGGAAACGGGCTCTTGCAGGGTGAAAGCTGGGCAGGCACGGGCACCAGCGGAGGTGGCGTTGCTCTGCTTTCCCTGGCAGAGGTAAGGGTGACAGCCTGCCCTGCTCCCTCACAAGCCAGATGCAGCAAAGACCTTTTTCTTTTTTTCTCTCCAATACCCAGCCTGCTTATTTTTCCCCAAACCTGTATTTCCCACCAGTGCAGCCCACGAGCAGTGGGCTGATTTGGCTTTGGGGTTGTGTGTGGGGGACAGAGCTCAGCCCAATTCACTGGGGAGTTCTCTGAATTCCTACGTCTACCTTCAGGATGGATACGAGATCTACCCTCTCTCTTAACACAGAATCACATGGGGTTGGAAGGGACCTCTGGAGATCATCTAGTCCAACCCCCCTGCCAAAGCAGGTCCACCCACAGCAGGTTGCACAGCAACTTGTCCAGGTGGGTTTTGAATGTCTCCAGAGAAGGAGACTCCACCACCTCCCTGGGCAGCCTGTTCCAGGGCTCTGCCACCCTCAAAGTGAAGAAGTACCTCCTCATGTTTAGATGGAACTTCTTATATCCAAGTTTGTACCCATTTTCTCTTGTCCTATCCCTGGGCACCACTGAAAAAAGACCGGCCCCGTCCTCTTGACACCCACCCTTTAAGTATTTATAAATATTGATCAGATCCCCCCTCAGCCTTCTCTTCTCCAGACTAAAAAGACCCAAGTCCCTCAGCCTCTCCTCATAAGGGAGATGCTTCAGGCCCCTCATCATGCCAATGCATTTGCTCTTGAAGAGATCCTCATTACAGCATTCCTACAGTGCAGGAAAAAGAACCTGAGGGGTGGCCGGGGTTCAGGGAGAAAAATTTGGACCTGGCATGGAGAAGACACACTCCAGGCTTGGTTTACTATCCCAGAGCAGGGTCCTTCTGCAGAAGGACAGTCTCACCGGAGTCATAACACCCCCCCTGTTCCATGGTAGGGTGCAGAGAAATGAATTATCAACTGTCTACAGTTATGCAAAAGCCAGTCAAAGAGCTAGAAACAGAACTGAAATTAGACCTGAGTCCCAAACCCGTGTCCTCCGTTGAGGAACACACATTGGCTTGAATCGGGCTTTTAAATAGCCTGACAACCCAAATCCAGTAAGACCTGGGGTTCAGAGGTGTTTCTGTAAAGGGATATATATGTAAAGGCACATATAAATGTTATTTCCCCACTCTGGCAATCCACAGACGGGCAGCTGCTGGCCCAGCCCCTCTCATGGTGCCTGTTCCAGCCCCTATGGTAGCTGGCCAAGGCAGGTCAGGCTGCCGTGGCTTTGCTTTGTGCTCTCTGCAGGGCACGTACCAGATGTCTACCCCGATTAATCACGAAATACCAGAGCCCAGCTCTGTGGTGTACAGGCAGCTCCACGCTTGCCCTGCCCAGGATCAACCTGGCTGCGCTGCCTCCAGCCCGACTGCGTTGGAAAATAAAGCTCTTCTCTGGGTGCAGGAAATGCTACTCTGTCTTCAGATCGTCTCGAAAACGTCGAGTAACGCAGCGTTGTTCAAAAATCCTCACACTGGAAGGCACACACCTCTCTACTGCTGAGCCTCCTGAGGCTCAAAAACAGAGAGGGGTGGGTTTCCAGCTTTTTGTCAGAATCATATGTATTGTGCAAACTGCAGCTTATTTTACTACTACTATTGTTTAGATACAGCTGGCATCAGCTGCTCTGAGCCCAGCTGATGTGCTGGTTACCCACCAAACCCCCACAAACAGCCCCAAGCCAGGCTGAAAACTGGAGTCTGGTATGTTTATTAAACTCTGATATACTTCATCGCCCCTCCCCACCCTACAATTATTTTAAGGTCCCTTTAGCACACTATGTGAAAAACGCAGTGCCGCTTAAACCAGGGTCCCCAAGAGGCACAGCAGGCAGGCCCTGGTCCCTAGGGTAATGCCGGTTCCAGGCTGAGTTCGTCCTGCGGGGCGAGCCGGCTTGCGGCACCCTCACCGGGCTGCCCCGAGAACTGCAGCTTTGGGGTTAAAAGCTGTGAATCTGGCTTACAGGCCGTCAGGACAGGCGGCGGGGGGCAGCTCGGCGCACCATCCCAGCCAAGGGCTGGGGAAGGCCCGAGGAAGTCTGGGGAGGCCCAGCTGGAGGCCTGAGGCAGGAGGAGGCACCCCAGCGGGAGGAACCTGGCTCGCTGCCCCGCCACAGACCCCAGAGTCGGCGCCGGCCGCCCGGGGGAGACCCCCCTCTCCTCACCGCCATCCGGGGCGGAAACGACGCTGCCGTCAAGCAGCGCCGCGCAACTGCCGCAAAACGCGGCGCTCCCAGCACGACCTGCCGCGAAGGCGCTCGGCTCCGTGGGCGGGGCGGGAAGGCAAGGACGACCAATAGGAGCCTCGTTCCGGAACGCGCGACCAATGGGGAGCGGCGCCCGGCGGCCGGGGCGTGTGCGCGGCGCTGCACGTGGCGGCGGGGTCCACGCGCG